GTTCTGAGTGCGATGGTGCTGAGTCCTGTTGGAATGTCCAAGGTCTGCGGAGTAATACGAGCGTTCGAGTAATACAAGCGGAGAGCGACCATCGGCTGTTATGGGGGCCCACACCATCTCTATGACCGGCGCTTGAGTTCTGGTGGCTAACCGAAGGTGCACAGCTGACCTCTTTGGCAAGTAAACACGATAATTTTGTTTGTTTTCAAAATGCTGGACAACGAATGTTTTCTCATTGGAGAAAACCAAATTCGGCAGTTCACCACTTTCAGCCAAGCGAAGCAATTCTTTAGCTCTTTTGAGTCTATTTTCTTTCAGTTGCGGTGTAAGTTCTTGCACTTTTTGGAATTTCAATGAATGATGAATTTTTGAATTTCAATACTCCGAGCACATTTTTCAATATGTGCCGAAAGGAATATTGCGATATGTTCAGCTCACGAGCCATTTTTCGGCCACTGCGACGCGGGTTTCGATTAAGTCGCTTCTTTACTTTTCGAACCATTTCTGCTGGTGTTTTGATGATGATGTTTTCTTTCGTCCACTTCCTTGACGTCGGGCTACGCTACCAGTATAACGGTAACGAACGATGGTACGAAACACAAAAGATTTATTCACATTTAATTGCTGGAGTGCTCTAACCATAGCCACTTCTTATTTTCCAGCCAAATATAAAGAAATCACACTATCACGCTTGAATTCCATCAGGAATAATCTTTTTTTCTGGAAAATTCTCACCAAAATGCTTTAGTACGCTTGTAAACAATATAATGAGCTGTCATTGGAATAATTTAAACAGCTGTCGGACGAGTGCCTTAGAAATGACAGTAGTCTGAAGTTGGTTGCAATTTTTTCATCTCACCCTGTATATCTGGTATCATTTTTACTGTGTGCATATTATGGCTTTTAGGAGATTTAATATCAAATCTCAATTGGATACCTGTACTTTGTCCCAAAAATTACATGTACAGACAGATGGACGGGTATTCATATGTACATCGTTCTATGCAAATCATCTAGGGGTACATCGGGTCTAACATGGTTCCTTCTGCCAAATGTACCACTCTTTTGTGTGGAGTATAAATATCCATGATTGTGGCTCTTCTTATAGTCTGCAAGTTTTACGGGATTGAAAATGGGTTGTATCGGTGCCAGTTTTGTAATAGCTTCCATATATCAGTACATCGGTATTTCAGATATTTCTAAGGTGGTAACCACATTTTCTAACCGAATTAGCATTTTTTTGATATTGGGAAATGGAATTTCTTTTTTGTTTTGGTATACGCCCGTTAAAAATGGTTAGTCCATCATTGCCGAGTTTTCCAGCGGAAGTTCCTGTTTTTTTTTATACCCTACCCCACAAGGTGGTCAGGGTATTATGTCCTTGTGCATTTGTTTGTAACAGGCAGACCCATAGTTCGTTGTGATGATCTGCATAGAATCGCATTCTGAGTCTATTTATGCATGTCCGACCTACCGTCTGTCTGTCCTTCTGTCCATGTATTTTTGTAGGTCGCATTTATTGCACAAATACTTTGTCTGTCAAAATTTCCCATATATATTTCCGTCCAGTTTGCCTTATATTGGGCACAAAACTTGTAATATCAAATAGTATGGAATTTTGCATGTACGACCAGACTGGTCCTGAAAATAAGTATGCCAATTTTGATAGAAATCGATTCAGGTATAGATATAGCTCCCATATATATTGTCATCCGATTTGTTATTTTTGTCCTCCGCAGCCGTAATATGCACTCTGTAACAACGATATTTGGGAAAATATATCAAATATAACTCAGAAATACCCTTGATAAATTTTATCGAGATCGGTTAAAAATATTTGGATATAGCTCCCATATATATCTTCGTCCGATTTGCCTTTTATTGTGCACCAAACGTGTAATATTAGTCCAAATGGAATGGTATTTGGTACTTACGACTACTTACTTACGAAACCAGTATGTCGAATTTGGTGGAAATCGGGTCAGATATAGCTATAGCTCCCATACATATTGTTCATCCGATTTGTTGAATTTGCTCTGCATAGTCGTAATATGGGCACCGTTGTAACGATATGCACCAAATGGATAATACAAGCCCGAATTGAAAAGGCGCAAATGCTTCGACAAATTTAGTAGAAATCGATTCAGAGGAGGATATTCCTCCCATATATTTGTTCCTTTGGACATTTAATTATTGCTATAATCATTGTCACAAATTCCCCATAAAAACTTTTATTTGTTATGTGAAGATCTACTAAAAATGCAAAGTGGTATAGGATATCGTAAAGTCCGCCCCGCCAGACTTTAAGACTTTTTACAGGTTTTTATTTGGGATTCCCACTGATTATGCCAACTTTGTGCAAATAATTTACATCAATTTACGCTGTTCAAAACTGCAAACATATATTTTATAAAATCTTTTTAGTAAATCTAAGACCTCGATACTTAAAGTTTACCTTCTTTCAAGGAGATTTTGGTCTTAAATTTCCCAGGCACCCATAATTTCTCTCTCCATTTTCCTTTTAGCACCTCAATCAATGTTTTCAAATAGAAATGATTTTTAGTTAAAATACAAAACATTTGTGCCGACTATTTAAGTCAGCATCCGTATGTCTCATTATGTCTGCATTACATTGTCGTCTTTGACTAATGACAATGTTTATATTTTGCCGATTTCTTGTACACCACCATGAGTTGGAGTTATTCCAAAGATTTGCGTCTGCAATCCAACTATGTCACTGAGTTCGGTAGCATTGCCTTTTTGGATGCTAAAGTCGACGACTGCGACGACCACGACATCATCTCATTTTGCGGTCTATGACAGAAATGATGCAGACATCAGACACACACACACACACACTGACAGCGGCAGCAGCCGCACCACCAGGGAGACCTGTTAATAATCTATCCGTATTATCTCCACACATAATATTCATACTAAGTAAACATTTGGTTCGTTTGGATACTTATTAAGATGACTGTATTTTTGAAATAGTTTTCGCTGCGGACGACATCTGGGGTTTGGGGGATCGGGGAAAATAAAGACAAAATCAACACACACGCCAAGTGTTTTGCAGCAGACAAAGCAGACACAATGGAGTGCCGTTTTGGCATTCACTAGTTACTGGTCATTAAATTGGAATTATGTTGGCTGTAAATTTACACAAAATTTAGCATATCGCATTATTAAAAATGTGTTTTTATATTCGGATTTTCGTCTATTCATGGTCCGCATATGAACACAAATAAATTATGTTATGGTTTTATTGTAGATTTGAAAATTTGTTTGTTTTGTTAAGGCATTCTTTTTTTGGCGTTTTCAACAATAATGACTTGGCCTGTGTTTTTGAAATGAAAATGTAAATATGTGTAAAATACAAAATGCATTTACAATATTGGAATAATACGCAAAGGCGATAAGTGTCATTTGGTCGAATCTGGTGTACACTCTATCGGAATATGAACTCTAACGTATGTAAAGTTATTAATAGAAAATAAACATTACTTCCTGCTCACACTAGAATTTTCGCCCACAAGATGTCATCATATACAAATAATCCTTCAAGATCTTCTACAAAGGCAAAAACACTCTCTTAACTAACCTAAGCTCGCCTAAAAAGAATTCGTTAAGCTCATCTAAAAAGACAACCTTAAGATAGCCGTTAAACATGGACTCGAGCTCGTCTATAGAAACGACCTCCACAGCTCATATTAGAGACGACCTCTACAGCTCGTTTATGGAGACGACCTCTACATCTCGTTTATGGAGACGACCTCTACATCTCGTCTATATAGACGACGACCTCCACAGTTCGTCCTTAGAGACGACGACCTCCACAGCTGGTCTATAGAGACGACGACCTCCATAGCTCGTCTATACAGTCGACGACCTCCACAGCTCGTCTATAGAGACGACGACCTCCACAGCTCGTCTATAGAGACGACGACCACCACAGCTCGTCTATAGAGACGACGACCTCCACAGCTCGTCTATAGAGACGACCTCCACAGCTCGTTTATAGGGACGACCTCCACAGCTCGTCTATAGAGACGACGACCTCCATAGCTCGTCTATAAAGGCGGCCTTCAGAGCTTGTCTATAAAGGCGCCCTTCAGAGCTTGTCTACAAACGCGTTCTTCCGATCTCGTCTAAAATATGCCCTTCAGAGCTCATCGTTAAAGAAGCCATTCCGAGCTTGGCTATAAAGACGTCCCCTATAAAAATGCCCTATAGAGCGTCTATAAAAACGTCATTCAACGCATCTAAAGGGACGTAGTTTAGATCGTCAATAATAACATCCTTCAGTACGTGTAAAAGGGTATCTTTCAGCTCGTCTAAAAGGACGTCTTTCAGCGCGTCTATAAGTCGTATTTTAGCTCGTCTATAAGAGCGTCCTTTAACTCCTCAATAAGGACGTCGTTTAGCTCCTCTATAAGGACGTCCTTTAGCTCCTCTATAAGGACGTCCTTTAGCTCCTCTATAAGGACGTCATTTAGCTCCTCTATAAGGGCGTCCTTTGGATCCTCTATAAGAACATCATTAAGCTCCGCTATAAGGACGTCCTTTAGCTCCTCTGTAAGGATGTCTTTCAGCTCGTCTAAGAGGACGTGTTTCAGCTCGTCTATGATGACATCTTTCAGCTCTCCTATAAGGACGTTCTTCAGTTCAGCTTCTCTATAAGGACGTCCTACAGCTCTTCTATAAGGCCGTTCTTCAGTTCAGCTTCTCTATAAGGACGTCCTTCAGCTCCTCTATAAAGATTATCTTCCTATCCACTATATATACTCTCTTCCGCTCTTCTAAAGAGATTTTCTATCGCTCTTCTATAGAGACTCTCTTTTGCTCCTCTCTTCCGATCCTCTATAGATACTCTCTTTCGCTTCTCAAAAGAATTGTTCCTCTATAAAGAGTATAAATGCTTCTTTCTAGAGATTATCTCTTGAACTCGTCGTTTGTGACCCTATGCAGCTCATAAACCTTTTCTCTTTATTTTTTTTCAGTCTTCGATGAATCAAATACTCTTTGAAAAATATCAGCAACATGCATCGGAACAGCTTCATAGAGAATCCCAGAAATCACCCTTTGAACGCAGGACTAGAATTAGCAATGACGAAGATGAGAGCAGACGAGAAACACCCCATAAAGCATCCTCTGATTGCGAGGAAATTGGACAGCATATCAAAACCGAACCTATGGCCGATGAACCTGAAGATGTGACAAAATCACGAGCAGAAATAGAAGAGGCCGATGAAGATGATGCTTATCGGGAGGCAACATCTTCGCCACCCAGTCATACAAGTTACTCTTTCCATTCGGCTGGTGCTATGGCGATGGGAGGTTTATTGCCACCACCGCTGGCCACCGCATCATCGGATGCCTCGGAACATTCGCTGATGAAAATGCAAATGCGTAAGTAATCGATTAGTATGTAAGTTATTTGGTTGCCATTCAATAGCCATACCACAAAAATGTTTGAAAACTTTATAGTAACCACAATTCCTCATCAATTTTCGAATTCCCATTCGACATCGATGTTGCAACACCAACAACAACACAACCACCACTTAGAAGCTCATCGTTTTCCTGCAACACCATTGGATTTCCAGCAGGCCCTCATGTCGGTGGGTCCACCAACATCCAGTCTGGATCCGCCAGTGAATAATAAACATTTCTGTCATATTTGTCGAAGGAATTTCAGTTCCAGTTCTGCTCTACAAATACACATGCGTACGCATACGGGCGACAAGCCGTTTCAGTGTAATGTGTGTCAGAAGGCTTTCACCACAAAAGGCAATTTAAAGGTAGGTGATGGGAGGGCTAAGATGGGTGAGAGCGGGGTTTGTTATATGTTGTGTTTCGTTTTTAGGTTCATATGGGCACCCACATGTGGACAAATCCAACATCCCGCCGTGGACGTCGGATGTCTTTGGAATTGCCCATACATCGACCGGGCGGTAGTATGCCACCAGAATCGGAATTTCTACCCCGAAGACCGGATATATTTTTTCCATATTTACCACCGTTTTTCAATGGTCTACCACCAAAGGTAAGTTGCCGTGCTATAAAAAATATTTAAAAATATGAGGTATTAAAATGATTTTGAGTTCTGGGATTTTCCATGTGTGAGGAAACCTTTTTTAGTTTTTTTATGGAAGGTCGTCTACAGGGTCCTAGTGACATTTCATGTGGCTCTTGATTACAGAAAACCTTCATAATCCCAACGAGCTTTATTTTATGGTAGATATTTGTCATACCTTCAATATTTCGATGGACTTCCAATGAAATTTTATTTTTTAAGACCTGGCAGATAATTCCGTTATGGTCCCTCATAAGCCTTCCAATCTCCCTTGGCCAGAGTATATAGAAAACCTGTCAAAGGTCACTGGGCTTCTTAAGATATTCTGTCTATGGTAGGCGTTCAAAAGGCCATCTATCTTTGAAGGGCCTTCAAAGGGCTTCTTTTAATAGAAGAACAATGACTGGCTTTCTATATTTCGAAAGCCTTCAAATGGAATTTTTTTAGAAGAGAGGAAACATAATTCCTTCCAAATAACTTATCTACTGAAATCCCCCAAAAAATCCTACCAAATGGGTTCTTTTCCGACAACTCCTTAACAGGATTTCTACATCTGAAAATTTTTGTATTGACTTTTCGAAATTTTTTTCTAAACATTTATATTTGAAGGATTTCCTAACCATGAATGTCTTCCAAAAGTTCTCCTTCAACTTTACGTGATCTTCCTTCTATTGAAAAGTATTTTATCTTTCACCTTCTGCCAAATAATCTCCCAAAAATTAATTTGTTTTACTCTTTGCTCTCTCTCTCTCTCTCTTTCTCCTTTATTCTTGCTTTCTTTCTAGCCCGGTGATTTGAATTCAACACCTCCATTCCCGCCCCACATAAATCCGCCTCATTTGCCAAATGGCACAAACGCCGGGCCACCAAAATATCCACCACCTGGCTTACCGCTGGGATTTCCACCATTCCTACAACCTCCCTATGGCTTCAATCCCATGCTGAATCAGGCTCACTTGGAGCGACAAAATAATGCAAAAACCCCGCAAAATCAAGATGAGGACACCACCTCAATTGAACCAAAGAATTTACAGCAGCAGCATAGCAGCGGCAGTAGTAGTCGAGCAACATCTCCACAACTGTATCTACATCAGCATCAACACTCGCTGAGAACCTCACCAATGGAGAAAGAAGATGCGATGACGTCATCGACATCCAGTTCACTCTGGAATCCAATGATAAAAATTAAAACTGAAAACAATCAAAATGATATTAATCATCTGCAGGATCATAACAGTGAGTCATCTAATCAGGATTAGTTTCATGAAATGGTCCCAAGAATTTGAAATTAAAATGGAAATAAAAATGGGATAACCAAAATATCTACAACATAAACTTAGTGACTTTAAGAGAATCTATCTATACATGCAGACACACACACGCATTCACACACACACAAACACATATATGATATATATGAGAAAAAGAAATGATTGAAAATCATGGTTTTTAAGGAGTACATATCTTAAAGCTAACAGTCTTTTTTCTCCTCCTCCTCTTCGGAGAGGAGATAATATTTTTTCTAGGCTTAAAATCACTTAGTACTAGAGATAAAAGTAATGAAAATGCAGACTAACACACACACACACATGCCCACACAGATAATTAGTTTTAGTTATTTTAGCATATAACCTATACATACTTACACCTAATTATATTCTTACAAACAAAAGCGATACGAGCAGCAGTATAATAATGAGGGGAAAAAATTGATTGGTATTTTTATTTCAAAATCACACACACTCACACATGCAACAAGGATGCATTGCAAAGAAATGAAATTGCATTTTAGCTTTTAAGCTGTAAAAAGTCGTTCGTTTTTAAGTTTAAATTGTAGTGGCTAAATATATCTGAATGGCCTGAGGAATGATTAAAATATTAAAAATAGGAATAATATGGAAGTACTTATAAATATAATATAAAATATTATATATATGGCCGTAATAATATAACAAAACAAAAAAAAATCATAAAACAAAATTATAGTAAAACCTGTGGTAGTTGCATATGAAATTAAATTATAAATTATAATTCATTGAGAAATGAAAGAAAGAAAACAAGAATAAATAAAGATATTAAAAATAATATGCACTGATTATTATTTTTGGTGGTGAGTATCGGTGAGTAAAAAAACCATATGAATTTTAAACATAAACTGTAAACGGATAGAAGTAGAATTATAAAATTTGGGATGAAGGTCACTGATGGTGTATTGGATAGATGCACTAATGTTTTTTTTTTTTTTTTTTTTAATTCAAACTAACGCTGTACTAAAATTACCAAAAACACTACAGTGTAGGTGGTTTTTATAATGTATACTAAGTATAATTTGGATTTGGGTGAACTAATGGACCTGGAAGTTTGAAATGTTTATATTGGGGTCACTCTTAGAGTGTACCAAACAAGTAAAAAGTATCAGTCGGTTTTGTCGACAGATATATACCCTCAGCTTATATAAAATTATATGCAACAAATTGTTTTCATATGTTTGATATTTTCGCTCATAGAACAGTGTTGGCTTATTTGTTCGGGATACCATAGTGTTTTGTTGTTGGAAAATGGTCAGGCTTATTCCCTTTATTGTTGTTTTTATAAAAACAACTTTGTTTGTTGGTGGAGAACGATGGTAATGTTTAGGGACTACCAAGGTTTCGGAAAGAGCCACCAATTCTCATCAGTTGCCTTGTTTTTTGTCTGGGATATTCTCCCCAGAAGTTATTTTAAAAATAACTTCTATGACAAAAAACTTTTTTTAGCCAAGTGAGGGATTAAGCCTGACTATTTTGCAACAACAAAATACTATGGTATCCTCAACAAACAAGCCATCACTGTCTAATTAATAGACAAAGCACGGTCGACGAAGGGGTTTTTGTTGTAACAGACAAAACCAACTTACATGGATATGCTACTTCGTTCATGTAAAACAAATAAACTAACGTTGTTTTTATAAAAACAGCATTAAACAAATTAAGCCTGAACATTTTGCAACAACAAAATTTTCCCTCATATTTAAAATTACGAGGGCAGTTCGGAAACTACTTAGCCTATCAATGAATGAGAATAGTCAGTTTTTAAAAAATATTTTTATTTTTCAACATAATCTTCTGAAATTTCATACACCTACGAAGGCAGTTCGGAAGCTTCTTAGCCTAGCACACAAAGCGAGATATAAACAGAAAAAAGTTCAAGTTAAGTTTTGGAAATTTCCATCTCTGTTATTAGCACGTGCTAAATTTTGTTTCGATCTGGCAACTCTTCATATAGAATCAGGTGTTCAAAAAAGACGCATCCACAATTTTTATACCCTACACCACATTACTGGTAAGGATATTATGTCTTTGTGCATTTGTTTGTAACAAGGAGAAGGAAGCGAGATAGAACCGTCGTTACTTTTGAGGATCTTCATAGAATCAGATTCTGAGTCGACTTATGCATGTCAGTCCGTCCGTCTGTCCATGTATTCTTGTAAACAAAATTTTTAATCCGATTGAGATGAAATTTTGCAAACAATATTTGTTTGGCCCAAGGAGAAACCCTATTGAAATTGGTGAGAGTTGGTTCAAATTTATATATAGCTCACATATATCTTCAACCGATTTTGGGTTAATTGTGCACCAAATGGCTAATGTAAGTTCAAATGTCCTGTATTTTGGTACTTCTCACCGAATTCAGTCTAGAAGCAGCTAAATTAAAAAAACGGCTCAGATATAGCTATAGCTACCATATATACAAGTTGAGATGAAAAAATTGCAACCAACTGCAGACTGTTGGCATTTACAAGAAATCGGTCCGACAGCTGTTAAAATTATATTATTTACAAGCGTATAAAAGCATTTTAGTGAGAATTTTCCAGAAAAAAAGTTATTCGTAATGGAATTCAAACGTGATAGTGTGATTTCTTTATATTTGGCTGGAAAACCACAAATGGCTATAGTTAGAGCACTCCAACATAAAAATATGAATACATCTTTTGTGTCTCGAACCATCGCTCGTTACCGTGATACTGGTAGCGTAGCCCGGCGTTCATCATTCAAGATCGGTTTGATTTGGACATAGATCCCATATGTATCTACCGATTTCGGGTTAAGTGTGTACCAAAAACTTTCAAAAAGTCTTGAATTTTTGTGCATCCGACCGAATTCAGTCCAGAAGCTAGTACATCAAATTTGCAGAAAGTCGGTTCAGATATAGCTATAGCTCCCATATATATTTTTTAACCGATTTGGTGTTTAAGTCCATCAATTTCGTGATGCATTCGACAACAATGATATTGGTAGCAGATATTTTACAGAGCTCGGAAATACCTCTGCCAAATTTTATAGAGAACGGCTAAGATTTGGATTTAGCTTCCATACATATCCTTAATCCAATTTCAGGTTTGTTGTGCAAATAATGGCTAATATCAACCCAAATGGAGTGAATTTCGGGACGTACCTTTCCATTTTGTGCAAGTCGGATCCGATATATATATTTTTAATATAATCCTTCTCCAAGTGATATCATGCACTCTATAGCAATGTTGCAAAGAATCAAATGTCTCCGTCAAATTTAGTGAAAATAGATTCAAAATTGATATTCCTCCCAGATATTAGTTCACTCTGAAGCCAAACTATAACTGCTCTAAAGCCAAATTTTGATAGGTTGTACGATCTACTTGAAATAAATTATTTTGTTACTTGAGCTCCGCTAAATATGCATAATGGTGTAGATTATCATATAGTTGGTCCCGCGCGACTTTTGACTTTTCCTTACTGCTTTTATAATTCAGCAGAACATCCGTAAAATTTGATTATTATTTTAACAAGAACGGAACAGATAGTGGCCTGATATTTTCGTATGGTGTTTGGGACAACTAAAGTATTTAAACAATATAAATCGCCTTCAAAGTTTCATCGCTTGCTATAACAACGAAATAAATTTATAATCTATCTCAACACAATAGCATCATTTTTTTTTGTTGCCGTTTCCTTTAGTTTCAATTAAATTGAAATTCATATACTTGAAGATCAGTTTTTTTAATAAAATTCATTATACATGCGTATGAAAATTGGCACGTTCCACCACCAAGGAAATATCACACACGCCAGCACATTCATCTTCGTTGTTTGGTTTATGGCGATGCATAACATCCAGTGAAGGGTAAGTTGTAAATCAATGAAATAAACATATGTTTTAATTCGAACCACTTATCACATTCGATAACACCCACTCTACGCATCCTCCTTCGAGTGACTTGAAGGGAAGAATCGAAATCACAAATAAGAAAAAAAAAAACGACACTAAACTTCCTATTTGAATTCATTGATAACATTAAGAAATTGGGGGGTGGATGGAAGAAACAATTGTTGCTGTTAAATGATATTTCAATGTTGAATAAAATTCCAAATATTTTAACTACATTTTAAAATTTTTCTCAAAAAAATAAAAAAACAAGCAAAAGCTGGCATATCATATGGTAAACGAAGATCTTTGAATGAAACAATGCCACAAGCCAGGCATTTATCATCTTGAGAACACACACACACATGGATCGCCAACTCTCCCCTTAAAGAGATATATCTTCCAAAGCGAAGAACATCTTCCGTATTTAAACATGTCCCCCACCCCAAAAAAGCACCCATCGCAGAATGGCTTACAAGAACATAAGTTTATTAATGATGAAGTTAATATTTTCTACCATGCCACACATACTTCGAACACAAGTAGCACTTGTGCCACACGCTGATGCCTTTCTGCGGAGGCTCTTTTACACTGTTAATGGCCCTACATGTCTCACTGTCCTTATGTCACATCTGTCTGTCTGTCTGTCTGCCTCTGACTGAAGTTGTTGTGGTTTCATGAGTTCACTTATAATTCATAAGGATTGTGTGCAACTGGCGGCATTGTTGTTGCTGGTTGTCTTATTTATTGTACATTTTAACATATTTGTTAAATATTTTCCACAATTACCACCCAAAAAATATGCGGGGAAAATTTTGTCAGATGGTTCTAAAGGGATATATATCTACACAGTCCAATCAAAACTTGGAAACCACATGAACAAAAACTCCACTATAAGGTAATGAAAACAGACAACATAGTGCATTACCTATAGGTGGTAAATAATGGGTAATTATATTTAAAATGACTAGTGAAAAAGAAACAAGTAAAAAAGTTGTAACTTTGTATAACCTCTTTGTCAATTTTCAAAAAATAAAATCGGTTAATAATCCTTTTAAAATCTTAAAAATATACCGAATGTAGTCGTATATTAGGGTCTATATGCAAAAGTTAAACAAGTAAAAAAGCAGTAAGTTCGGCCGGGCCGAACTTTGAATAGGCTCCAACATTTGGAACGAATTAGCAAATTTTCAAAAAATAAAATCCATTAAAAATTCTGTTAAAATCTTTAAAATATCGGAAGGTGCCGATATCTGGGAACCTATATAGACAATTACCTTTCAGGGGTTAAATTGCTCGCAAAGAACTCCTTATGTGGATTTTCAGACAATACCATCAAAATACCGAATATCGGGAGTACCGTTATATGGGGGATATGCGATATCGTTAACCTATATAGAGAATTCTCTGTCAGGGGGTAAACTGCTCACAAAGAACCTCTTGTGTACAATTTCTGACAATTCCGTTGAAAAATGTACCTAAAATCATGAAAATACCGAATATCGGGGGTACCGTTATATGGGGGGCAAACGATATCGTGAACCTATATAGATAATTCTCTTGCAAGGGATAAAGTACTCACAATGAACTCCTCGTGTGGAATTTCAGACAATTCCATTGAAAAATGTGGCTGAAATCTTCAATATACCGAATATCTGGGGGTGCGTTATATGGGGGCTATACGATATCGTGGACCTTTATAGATAATTCTCTTCCGAGGTACAAAGTACCCACATGGTACTCCTTGTGTGGATTTTCAGATGAAAAGTGTAGGTAAAATTATCAAAATACCGAATATCGGGGGGTACCGTTATATGGGGGATATACGATATCGTGGACCTATATAGATAATGGATAAAGTACTC